GTTGAAGTCTCTCATGATTAGTAGCCTGGATCCGTTCCTGCTAGCCACAGAAGCTGCTCTCTCTATTATATTGATGGTGGCCAAGTTGTTTCTATCATATTCCTGTCTGGGTCTTCTGACATTTGGTGGGGGGTTATATATGACTACTACTATAATTTTCTGTCCTCCAGTTGCTATGGTGCCTGATATGTAGTTACTGAAACCTTCACAGTTCTGAATTACCATCTCTTCGAAACTGCAACCTTCTCTTAGTAGCAAAGCTACACCACCTCCTCCTCTCCCTTCTCTCTCTTTCCTCACTACATAGTAGCCCTGTGGAAACACTGCGTTTGTTATGGTGTTTGCTAGCTTTGTTTCTGTGAGTGCTATTATGTCTGGGTTTTCTTCTAGTGCCCATTCTTCGAGTTCACTTGTTTTATTAGTAATTCCATCTATGTTAGTGTACATTGCCATGAAGCTCACTTTCTTCAGTTCATTTTCTTGTCCCTTTCTTGGCGAGCATTCTGCTGGTGTGGGAAGCTTTTCAGTGGGTGAGATGATCTGTGAGGTGGTTTGCAGGGTTTCAGGGGAACCAGGTTTGTGTGTGTGAGTGTGTGTGTGTGTGTATGTACTCACCTAGTTGTACTCACCTAGTTGTGTTTGCGGGGGTTGAACTCTGGCTCTTTGGTCCCGCTTCCCAACCGTCAATCAACAGGTGTACAGATTCCTGAGCCTATTGGGCTCTATCATATCTACACTTGAAACTGTGTATGGAGTCAGCGTCCACCACATCACTTCCTAATGCATTCCATTTGTCAACCACTCTGACACTAAAAAAGTTCTTTCTAATATCTCCGTGGCTCATTTGGGCACTCAGTTTCCACCTGTGTCCCCTTGTGCGTGTGCCCCTTGTGTTAAATAGCCTGTCTTTATCTACCCTATCAATTCCCAGGTTAGAAGATGGGTGTGTGTGTGTGTGTGTGTGTGTGTGTGTGCGTGCGTGCGTGCGTGCGTGCGTGTGTGTGTGGGGGGGGAGGCAGCCAGCGCTGACCACAGGGTACCCCACAACCTGTTTACTCAATAGGCTTGTGGTCACCTAGGGTGGCAGTCCAGGCCCTATTATACTGTGCTGTAAGGACCATTCTCCTCTGGCATATTTAACCTTCGGCTTTTAGTCCTTCTGAGACCCACTGAGAGTGTTCTACCCCTCAGTGCAGGTTTATGACTGTTGGCGCTGATGACAGGTAAGGCATGCTGCCTGCTCTACCATTCGTCGTGCTAATCATCATCATATGATTATCAATGATAACCAGGTATCGGACGAAGGGGCAAGTACACACGTCTGACCTTCCCTAAAGGCACGAGTGTGGCTGACAGGATTGTGTGGAGTAAGAAACAGAGCGAGGAGTACCCACCTGACTCTGCAGGCATGGTATGTCCACATGTCAACTCCCCATATGTGTATGTTTCAGGAGAGAAGCAGCAAGTTGTGGAGGCTCTTCTACAAGGAAAAATGCGTGATGTAAAGATCTCCCTTCTAGATAATCCAACACGGAACGAGAAGATGGATGAATACCTAGTCGACAGGTATAGTCACGGGTATCCACTAGCGTGGGACTATGAATTAGACGGGGTACACAGAGCACGAAGATTGACCAAGAATGGTAAGCCTACTGATCAAATAGTCATAGTCTGGAAAAAGCCTGATCCGCCACCTGACCAGTATTATTTTGCTGGGTTGAATGCACGCCCCAGCACGTTCAGGGTGTGGCAGCCAGACCCTGTGGAGTGTTACGAGTGCTGTGGCAGTGGCCACATAGCTAAGCACTGCTGGTGCCCAACACCCAAGTGTGCTCTCTGTTCCGGTCCTCACCCACTGAAGGACTGTCCGTATAAGAAGAGCAGAGACCAAAGAAAGCTGGAACAGGAGCAACAGAACACTGTAACAGAAGGAGGGCAACAACCTGAAACTGTGGCTCCGTCTAAACCGCCGCTGAAGTGTTTCACATGTGGTACAGAAGGAGTAACCATCTGGCACTCAGACTGAACCAAACGGCCAGCCTCCCTTGGCACAAGGAGGCAAGTGCCCGAGAATCAACAAGTGCTTACTGATGCCGGCTCTAGTACTGTTGACCCACCCCATAGTGGTGACAGTACCAGCAACGCCCCTGACAACACACAACAGCCTGAGACAACAGTTAAAGGACAGTTGGAAGCCTTGCAAACACAGGTAACAGAACTGGCCAAAATTATACAGATGCTACGTTGGGCTCCTTCACAAGAGATACAGCAGCCTCCACACTGCTGTGTCACAGCCGTGGCCCGCGCTAGTAAAGCTACCTGCGAAGGTGGTGACGGCGGCGGCGGCAGCAGAGATGAGAGCGACAACGGAGGCGGTGGCAGCGACGTCGTCAGTCAACTCAGGGATGACAGCAGTGTTAGTGACACAGAAACATTAACTGGAAAAGGAAGTCGATCCGCATCAGGATATATTAAAATGAATAATGACCTTAACGAACGCGCTCGAGCCAAGTACGAGAATGAAAATGATAATATTCTGCGTGACAGTAATTATGCCATGCAACATACAGAGAAAATTCACTCACAGACTATTCCGAGTTCCTCAGTGATCAAGAGACTGATGACATCACCAGGTGCTACTGATGACACCAAACACCAGGTTGGTGCGGCTCTTTACGTCGTACAGTCACTTAATGACACATTGTGGAAGTGGGACGAGAACAACGATGGTACCACCAGTCCCAGGGAGGAACATCACAAAGACAATGGCTGCTGTTGACACAAGGACCATTAATCTAATAGACCATATGATCTAATTGCATATGTTACCAGTAACAACATAGATATAATTGCTATACAGAAGCCCTACACGTCCAACATGATAAACAAAACCCCACCAAAGATCAGAGGGTATGCATCCTATACTAACAGCAACACCACAGGCCTACTAACCAACCCGTTCTCGCACTTTCTTACAATCAATATTGACTTATTAAATAAGTGCATATGTGACATACTAACATATTGCGAATACTTTAGTTTACCTTGAAAAGCTTCATAGAAAATGCCGATCTTACCTAACCTTCTTAGTATGTTAAGATAAGCATCTTATTGCTTCGTAATTACAATTATTACTTAACCTATACCTATAATAGGTTAAGTAATAATTGTAATTACGAAGCAATAATATGCTTATCTTAACATACTAAGAAGGTTAGGTAAGGTCGGCATTTTCTATGAAGCTTTTGAAGGAAAACTAAAATATTCACAATAAATTAGTATGTCACATATGCACGTATTTAATAAGTCAATATTGACTATACGAAAGTGCGAGAACGGGTTGTACTAATATACATCAGAAGTGATTTACCACACTCTTGTGAGCACGTCACACAATGTACACAAACAGTACCATCACATTCATGTACAAACTGCATCAGACCACTTCTCATTCCTCAACGTATATGCAAGAAGTCAGAACTAAATGTAACATTGCTCCCAGATCTAGAAAATCATGGGACAATATACATGGGAGATTTTAATGCTAGACACAGCTGGGAGACATTACTAACAACGATAATGGATACAAATTTATAAAATATGTTTATGACAACAGATTAACCGTGTATACTACGGATATGCAAATTCATTTATTGGGAGGAATTCTTGATTATGTAATGGATAGAAACCTTGTGCAAGATAGGATGGAATGTTCGTTGGTAAATCACTTGGTTAGTGATCACTATGCAGTTTCTTCTTCCTATGAGGTACAGAGTGATGTACCTAATAGATATCAGAGACGGAAAATGAATATTCCATATGGCTTGCACGATCACTTTATTAATTGTATTTCAAAATGGAATCAAGATTACACAATAACGAATGTGCAAGCCTTCTCCAGAGATCTCGTTGGTACAATTACTACCTACTACGACACATGGGTGTGTTGGGGAACAGGCCGTAAGCCTAGCAGAAGTGGGCAACACCTACCACCACCCAAGTGGGTCGTTGCTAGGCGTTCCGTGAGAGAGGGTGTTGTTGTTGCGTCGGCGCCATGGGGACCACCCCCTCCCCCCTATTCGCCGCTCTGAGACCGTGGGTCTGGAATTTTATGGACGTGCGTCTTACCTGGCCCTTGAGATTGTCCTGTTGGCTAGGCTGCGTGTGTGTGTTGCCGATGTGTACGGGCTCCAACTGCTGTCCACCCATCGGGCACTTGTTAAGTTCAACTCCGCTGCTGTCTATAGGGACTTCGTGGCCCGTTACGATGGGCGCTCTCTTCCTCTCCCTGGGGACGGTGGTACCGTCACTATCTCTGACCGGTGCTGCTCGGTAACATATGTGGCCCTGCATGGTGTGCCGTTTGAATTCACGGAGGCTTTGCTTCGACGGACTTTTGGCAAGTTTGGGACTGTCGTTTCCATCCGGATGAACTCCGTCTCTGCCGGCAGGTGGCGTGAAGTCTCGTGTGGGACCCGGACTCTCGACCTGAGGCTCAAGTCTCCTGTTCCCTCCTCGGTGACCTTGATGGGCTACACCATGTGGGCGTTCTACCCAGGACAACCTCGACAATGTTTTCGTTGTGGCATTGAGGGGCATCTGGCAGCTGATTGCACTAGGGTCGCGGCTGCTCCAGTTAATTTGTTCCGGGACGAGGATTTTCCCCCGTTGGTGGCGCAGGACCTGTCTCCTCATGATGGAGTGGGTGGGGAGGTTCCCCTGCCGCCTGCTGACCCGGTGGTGGCCGTTGGCCCGGCATGTGTGGATGGTGGTGTACACGACGAGGTGGTGGTGTGTGCAGCTCCGCCCCTGCAGTTTGTGTCGTCACTTCTAATGGCTTCTGCACCTGTTTCCAACTCTGTGCCTTCGATGTCTGGAGGCTCCCTCACCTGTGTTGGACCCTTCCCCTCCTGCGGCCGTGCCTGTTCCTTCTCCTGTCTCCTCTGTGGGTAAAGGTCTCGTCCCCCGTGTTGTTGAGGCTGACATTCTGCGGGGTCGTGCTACCCCGGTTGTGGGGCGGCCTGCTGCCGGCTCCTCTCGGGTGCCTCCTGCAGGGGGTGACAGCTCCAATGATCAACGGCCTGTCCCCAAGCGTTCGCGTACGGATACAGGTGCTTCGCCTCCTCGTTCGTGGGCAGAGGAATGTGAGGATGCGGCGAGGGTTGATGTTTCTTCTGAGAGCTATTCCTCTGTGGAGTGCGAGGATGGTGCGTGTGGTGCTGATGTGGGTCCGGTGGATAGTGTGGGCTCTGATGTGGCTCCTGCTGTGGGGGTGGGGACTCATGTGGGGCCGGTACCTCTTGTTTCGGGCACGTTGCCCGTGTTGGATGGTTCCGGTTCCCCGTGGGGGGTGGTTCCCCCTTACAAGGTTGAGAGTGGACGTGGAACCTGGTGGTGGTGTTGAAGAAAACTGCTCGCTCTGAGGGTTCTGTGTCCCCTGCCCCGTCCCCTGTTTCATCGGCGGTGGTTATGCTGCCCCACACGTCTTCGGCCATTTCTTCTGTGTCTCCTGCTTTGTCGGAGGTGGGGTTGCCGCCTTGGCAGCCTCCGCCCGCTGTTCCGGCCTCTCCTGCTTCCTCGGCGGCGGTGTTCCAGCCTTCCAAGTCGGGTTCTACGTTTTCAGTGTCCTGTCGTTTGAGGCGACCGCTCCCACCGGATGTGGTGATTCCGGAGTATATGGAGTACCCGCGGTGTCGTGAGGGCCGTTCCCCTACCGAACTGGAGTATTTGATATGGGAGGCTTATAAGCGGAAGTATCCGTCGAGGAAGATTCCTGAGAAATATCCTCCTCATTGACTGTTGTGTGTTGTGGGGTTGCTTGCGCCTGGGTGCGTGGGTGTGGGGTGGGGGATGCATGTGTGTGTCTGGGTCGGGGGGGGGGGGGTTCCGTTTCCTGCATGTTCCGGTTTTTTATTTTTTTGCTTATTTTTTTGCTTATGGTTTAGTTGTGTGGGGTTTAAGTGTTTTTGTGTGTTAGTTGTGTATTGCTTTGTTGTATTCCATAGTTATTTTCATGTTTTACTTACTATGTTGTATTTACAGTGTTATATTTACCATGTTCTGTTACTGTGTTCTCGATTCTGTGGAGTGATGTCTGCTGTTGTGTGGTGTGGCACATGGTGCGTGTGTTTTGCGTTTGTGTTATTTTGTATATGTGTATTCCTTGTTTATATTTTACCCCTTGGTTTTATTGTGCTCTTTGTGCACTTTTGTCATTACTGATGCTTGTGGCCCGCCCCGTCTGGGTAGTGCTGCTTTCGTTTGTGTGTGTGTGTGTTCTCATGTGTTTTCTGTTATTCTTTGTTTTCACTTTTGTGTTATGTTGATCTGTGTTACTTGTTATCTGTGTTATTGTTATTCTGTGTTCTTTGTTATTATGTGCTTTCCTGTTTTTTATGGTTACTTTACGCTGTAATTACTTTGTTTAAAAAAATAAAACAAGTGGGTCCTCTTACCTATATTTGTTAAAGAACATGAACGAGTAAAGCAACTTGGAGATACATAAAAAAAATCAAAGCACAAGGTGACTTGCATGCATTTCTGGTAGCAAATATAGAGGTGAGAGACATGAGCAACGTTATACGTAATAAACATTGGGAAGAGTTCCTACAAAGTATAAATGAGCAAGCAACACTTGTTGAGGTTTGGGAAAAGATACGATATATCTCTAGAAGCAACCCAACCAAACCACTGCACCACAGCCTACTAGAACAAGCAAACATTCTCCTTGATCAATGAGCACTTACATCAAGCTACGACTAACTCCCAATTAACATAGAGCACAAACTTGATGACACACGCCCCAACAGACAACGAAGAATCAATCTTGCCTGTACAGCTATCGACGTGTCGGACCTTAATGATGTAACTGAATGGGAATTAAATCATGCATTAAAGATGGGAAAGTCAACTGCTCTTGGAGAGGACGGTATTACTTACACTCTACTGAGATTAGTCTCACAAGTACCAGGTAATCCACTTTTAGTGTTGTACAGAATGAGTTTAAGTGAAGGATTATTACCTGATGCTTGGACAAAGAGTGGCATTGTTCCCATCCCCAAACCACACTCAAATAATTATAGATCCATATCTCTAACATCCTGTGTTTGTAAAGTGCTTGAAAGTATTGTTCTTAACCGACTCATGTATCATATACAGGGGCACCTGTCACCCCAACTGTTTGGATTTATACCTGGGCTCAGTACACAACACTGATTTGCTGAGTACTTCGCACATATTGAAGCTTCCCCTCAAACAGTCTTCATCGACCTATCAGCAGCTTTTGATACAGCAAACAAAGAAATCATACTGGAACAGCTTGCCGAGCTGGGAATACAAGGAAAACTACTGAAATGGATAAAGGGCTATTTGTCTAATCGAACAGCATATGTTTTGTTTAATGGTATTAAAAGCACAGAGAGCAAACACTTTGAACTGGGAACTCCACAAGAAGGGGTCCTCACGCCTTGTTGTTCAACGTTCTGATGCATAAACTTATTAAAGATCTTGCAGGTGATGAGTCACAATAACGTGGCTAAAGTAAGTTGACCAGACCACACACTAGAAGGTGAAGGGACGACGACGTTTCGGTCCGTCCTGGACCATTCTCAAGTCGATTGTGATCTTCCAAGTAATAATGAAGACACTATCATTTGTTATGCAGATGATATATGTTTACAGGCTACCTCCGAGCCTAGAATGCAAGTTCTGCTCGATGCTTTTGCTACTAGAGCTGAGGAATGTGGCCTCCTTATCTCTGTACAGAAAACTCGTGCCCTCATTTCGTGTGGTATTCCACCAGCCAGTTATCATATAGATGGACGAGCACTCGAGAACTGCGAGTCTCACAGATACCTTGGTGTCCCCATTAATGATCCTGGGTACCTTTCTTCTCTCAAGAGGAGACTGTGGGTGAGATTAAAATCCTTCCGGGTCCTTGTTGGTGTCAATCATGGAATTAACGTGAGACTTGCTAGAATGTTTTATGTATCATTTATACGTTGTGTGACTGAGTACAATGCTCTACATCTCACACTGTATACAGACAAAGAGCTGAAATCTCTTGAAACCTTGCAAACTGAAGCTATGAATCTCATCCTTGGGGCTCCAAAGCCCACGAGAATAGTTAATATGAGAGCAGAGTTAAAATTAACTACTATAAGTAAGACAATTTTGTCTATTAGCACAGTTTTCGGCGTGAAGGCATTGAGTAGATCTAGACAAGACATGATGTTTTAAGCTAAACTTTCTAATATGCTGCACTCACCTGAGGTCTATAGAAGAAGAACGAAATCTGATTATGTATTTTGGTTCTACAAGGTAGCCAACTCCATCAAAATATTAAATATGTACCCAACTCAACTAATGATTAATCAACCAATTACTCCATGGGAAAACTGGGATCTATCAGTTGATTTTGTAAATGCGCCCAAGAAAAATAGTGTGCACTCTACATTATTAAAACAGTTAACACTGAAAAGCATCACTGAAAGTACTCAGAGTATGGGGTAACGATGTGTATCAGTGCTATACCGACGGCTCTGTAGAAGAAGGTGGACGAAGTACCGGATGTACATGTAACATATTTGAACAATCTTCTCTCGTACATACAGCAATGAAGCGCGTCAATGACTGGGCAAGTACAACTGAAACCGAACTTGCAGGCATATACCTTGCCACTGAATTTTTAAAAGACAAAGGCAGTGGACTTATATACTGTGACTCGCAGAGTGCACTCCTGGCATTGAACGCACATAGTAGTGACACCCAGAAAATAGTCAGTGATATTCGAATGAATGTTTTAGCTGCTAATGAAAACAGATTTGAAATTTAATTCCTATCGTATGGATACCATCACATGTTGGCATCTCAAGGCATGGTACTGTTGATATGCTTGCAAAGACACCCTGTAGAAAACCAGTGGTAGAAATTGATATGGGTGTTTCATTAGCAGTGACAAAGAGAATACTTAAACAAATATCTAATGTAGATCTCAGCGACCTAACAAATTCACAAAGACCTGAAAGTTGTAGCATTAAATATTATGATAGATATCGTGAGGAGACATTCACATATGGGACTAATAGAACAAGAACCCGGCAATGTGATGTTATAGTGGCCAGAATACGCCTGGGATATAGACGTATGTGGCAGCTTTATCAAAACCCAAATGTCGAGTACACAATGTGTCAACTTTGTGAAAGAGAAAACATGCTCTGCCTTGAACATTATATTGTAGAATGTCCCATATTGACTGACTTTCGCCCTCCTGGGCTAAGGTATGCTGAACTCTGTAATTACTATATGAGTACTGGAACACTTGATGATATATTGGACTTGTACCCAAGATTGACCATGTAAAGTATTAATTATACAATGTATGTATGTGATGTAACTATATAACCTGAGCTTGTAAAAGCACCCTAATCACCTTCAGTGATTAAGTGCTTAATTGCACACTAGTTTCTCTATCAGCTATCTCACCCTGTCAGAGTAAAAGACACAGATGTATGTGAATGCATGTGTGTGTATATATGTATGTATAAATGTATATGAACATATATGTGTGTGTATGTATATGTATGTGTATAAAGTATATATGAAAGTTGATAAAAATTACATTTCACCTTTGTAAATGCACAATGATGACACTATGAAAAAGACACGTCGAACACTTTATATAGGGCATACTTACATCTGTGTATCTATGTATTTACATATGTAGGATAGATTAGCATTTTAAAAGCACCGAATCACCTTCTGTGGTTGAGTGTTCAATAAACCTCTGAACTATATGTTTAACACATCTCTAACCCTGTCCATGGAGGACAGAAGAAAATGTATATATGCTGGTTAGCATTGTAAAAGTGTGGCCACGTCTGTGGTAGAAAATAATATTAATATAAAAAAAACTCAGCCCACTGTCAGCCCCATGTTGTGTATCTCAGCCACTGTCAGCCCTATGTTGTGTATCTCAGCCACTGTCAGTCCCATGTTGTGTATCTCAGCCACTGTCAGCCCCATGTTGTGTATCTCAGCCACTGTCAGCCCCATGTTGTGAATCTCAGCCACTGTCAGCCCCATGTTGTGTACCTCAGCCACTGTCAGCCCCATGTTGTGTATCTCAGCCACTGTCAGCCCCATGTTGTGTATCTCAGCCACTGTCAGTCCCATGTTGTGTACCTCAGCCACTGTCAGCCCCATGTTGTGTATCTCAGCCACTGTCAGCCCAATGTTGTGTACCTCAGCCACTGTCAGCCCCATGTTGTGTATCTCAGCCACTGTCAGTCCCATGTTGTGTATCTCAGCCACTGTCAGCCCCATGTTGTGTATCTCAGCCACTGTCAGCCCCATGTTGTGTATCTCAGCCACTGTCAGCCCCATGTTGTGTACCTCAGCCACTGTCAGTCCCATGTTGTGTATCTCAGCCACTGTCAGCCCCATGTTGTGTATCTCAGCCACTGTCAGCCCCATGTTGTGTATCTCAGCCACTGTCAGCCCCATGTTGTGTATCTCAGCCACTGTCAGCCCCATGTTGTGTATCTCAGCCACTGTCAGTCCCATGTTGTGTATCTCAGCCACTGTCAGCCCCATGTTGTGTATCTCAGCCACTGTCAGCCCCATGTTGTGTATCTCAGCCACTGTCAGCCCCATGTTGTGTATCTCAGCCACTGTCAGCCCCATGTTGTGTATCTCAGCCACTGTCAGCCCCATGTTGTGTATCTCAGCCACTGTCAGCCCCATGTTGTATTTCAGCCACTGTCAGCCCCATGTTGTGTATCTCAGCCACTGTCAGCCCCATGTTGTGTACCTCAGCCACTGTCAGTCCCATGTTGTGTACCTCAGCCACTGTCAGTCCCATGTTGTGTATCTCAGCCACAGTCAGCCCCATGTTGTGTATCTCAGCCACTGTCAGTCCCATGTTGTGTATCTCAGCCACTGTCAGCCCCATGTTGTGTACCTCAGCCACTGTCAGTCCCATGTTGTGTACCTCAGCCACTGTCAGTCCCATGTTGTGTATCTCAGCCACTGTCAGTCCCATGTTGTGTATCTCAGCCACTGTCAGCCCCATGTTGTGTACCTCAGCCACTGTCAGTCCCATGTTGTGTACCTCAGCCACTGTCAGTCCCATGTTGTGTATCTCAGTCACAGTCAGTCCCATGTTGTGTACCTCAGCCACTGTCAGTCCCATGTTGTGTATTTCAGCCCACTGTGGCCCCATGTTGTGTATCTCAGCCCATTGTCAGCCCTATGTTGTGTACCTCAGCCACTGTCAGTCCCATGTTGTGTATCTCAGCCACTGTCAGCCCCATGTTGTGTATCTCAGCCACTGTCAGCCCCATGTTGTGTATCTCAGCCACTGTGAGCCCCATGTTGTGTATCTCAGCCACTGTGAGCCCCATGTTGTGTACGTCAGCCACTGTGAGCTCCATGTTGTGTATCTCAGCCACTGTCAGCCCCATGTTGTGTATCTCAGCCCACTGTCAGCCCCATGTTGTGTATCTCAGCCCACTGTCAGCCCCATGTTGTGTACCTCAGCCACTGTCAGCCCCATGTTGTGTATCTCAGCCCACTGTCAGCCCCATGTTGTGTACCTCAGCCCATTGTCAGCCCCATGTTGTGTACCTGAGCCCACTGTCAGCCCCATGTTGTGTATCTCAGCCACTGTCAGCCCCATGTTGTGTACCTCAGCCACTGTCAGTCCCATGTTGTGTATCTCAGCCACTGTCAGCCCCATATTGTGTATCTCAGCCACTGTCAGCCCCATGTTGTGTATCTCAGCCACTGTCAGCCCCATGTTGTGTATCTCAGCCACTGTCAGTCCCATGTTGTGTACCTCAGCCACTGTCAGCCCCATGTTGTGTATCTCAGCCACTGTCAGCCCCATGTTGTATTTCAGCCACTGTCAGCCCCATGTTGTGTATCTCAGCCACTGTCAGTCCCATGTTGTGTACCTCAGCCCACTGTCAGCCCCATGTTGTGTATCGCAGCCACTGTCAGCCCCATGTTGTGTATCTCAGCCACTGTCAGCCCCATGTTGTGTATCTCAGCCACTGTCAGTCCCATGTTGTGTATCTCAGCCACTGTCAGCCCCATGTTGTGTACCTCAGCCACTGTCAGCCCCATGTTGTGTATCTCAGCCACTGTCAGCCCCATGTTGTGTACCTCAGCCACTGTCAGCCCCATGTTGTGTATCTCAGCCCACTGTCAGCCCCATGTTGTGTATCTCAGCCCACTGTCAGCCCCATGTTGTGTACCTCAGCCACTGTCAGCCCCATGTTGTGTACCTCAGCACCTGTCAGCCCCATGTTGTGTATCTCAGCCACTGTCAGCCCCATGTTGTGTATCTCAGCCACTGTCAGCCCCATGTTGTGTACCTCAGCCACTGTCAGCCCCATGTTGTGTACCTCAGCCACTGTCAGTCCCATGTTGTGTACCTCAGCCCACTGTCAGCTCCATGTTGTGTACCTCAGCCACTGTCAGTCCCATGTTGTGTACCTCAGCCCACTGTCAGCCCTATGTTGTGTATCTCAGCCACTGTCAGCCCCATGTTGTGTATCTCAGCCACTGTCAGCCCCATGTTGTGTATCTCAGCCACTGTCAGCCCCATGTTGTGTACCTCAGCCACTGTCAGCCCCATGTTGTGTACCTCAGCTACTGTCAGTCCCATGTTGTGTACCTCAGCCCACTGTCAGCCCTATGTTGTGTATCTCAGCCCACTGTCAGCCCCATGTTGTGTATCTCAGCCCACTGTCAGCCCCATGTTGTGTATCTCAGCCCACTGTCAGCCCCATGTTGTATACCTCAGCCCACTGTCAGCCCCATGTTGTGTACCTCAGCCCACTGTCAGCCCCATGTTGTGTATCTCAGCCACTGTCAGCCCCATGTTGTGTTCTTCAGCCCACTGTGAGCCCTATGGAGTGTTCTTCAGCCCACTGTGAGCCCTATGGCATGTTCTTCAGCCCACTGTGAGCCCTATGGAGTGTTCTTCAGCCCACTGTGAGCCCTATGGTGTGTTCTTCAGCCCACTGTGAGCCCTATGGTGTGTTCTTCAGCCCACTGTGAGCCCTATGGTGTGTTCTTCAGCCCACTGTGAGCCCTATGGTGTGTTCTTCAGCCCACTGTGAGCCCTATGGTGTGTTCTTCAGCCCACTGTGAGCCCTATGGTGTGTTCTTCAGCCCACTGTGAGCTCTATGGTGTGTTCTTCAGCCCACTGTGAGCCCTATGGTGTGTTCTTCAGCCCACTGTGAGCCCTATGGTGTGTTCTTCAGCCCACTGTGAGCCCTATGGTGTGTTCGTCAGCCCACTGTGAGCCCTATGTTGTGTTCTTCAGCCCACTGTGAGCCCTATGGTGTGTTCTTCAGCCCACTGTGAGCCCTATGGTGTGTTCTTCAGCCCACTGTGAGCCCTATGGTGTGTTCGTCAGCCCACTGTGAGCCCTATGGTGTGTTCTTCAGCCCACTGTGAGCCCTATGGTGTGTTCTTCAGCCCACTGTGAGCCCTATGGTGTGTTCTTCAGCCCACTGTGAGCCCTATGGTGTGTTCTTCAGCCCACTGTGAGCCCTATGGTGTGTTCTTCAGCCCACTGTGAGCCCTATGGTGTGTTCTTCAGCCCACTGTGAGCCCTATGGTGTGTTCTTCAGCCCACTGTGAGCCCTATGGTGTGTTCTTCAGCCCACTGTGAGACCTATGGAGTGTTCTTCAGCCCATTGTGAGCCCTATGGTGTGTTCTTCAGCCCACTGTGAGCCCTATGGTGTGTTCTTCAGCCCACTGTGAGACCTATGGAGTGTTCTTCAGCCCACTGTGAGCCCTATGGTGTGTTCTTCAGCCCACTGTGAGCCCTATGGTGTGTTCTTCAGCCCACTGTGAGCCCTATGGTGTGTTCTTCAGCCCACTGTGAGCCCTATAGCGTGTTCTTCAGCCTACTGTGAGCCTTACTTTGTGTTCGTGAGTCGCCTGTAATTCCCATGTTATACTGCTGAGAGCACTGTGAGCCCCGTGCTCTGGGCCTTAGCCTCATGCCAACCCCAATCTCTGCTGTAGATTCTCATTCCATTCCCGAGAATTTTATTATTGGAAAGTTTACATCCCTCCAAGTCGGATGATTCCTCTAGATGACCGGAAAGTTATCAGCTCTCCAGATGCCCCTCCCTTTCCCCCCTTAGGAGGGGCCGGTGCCCCCCACCCGCCACCCCCTGGGGGGGCGGGGTCCCCTCTCCCCCCTCCTGGCTCCATGGTTGAGCACCCGTAAACTTTCGTCTCTTCAAACGTTATAATCCTCTTTACTTCCTAACCAACTTTCTTTTTAATAACGCTGCTGTCGTTATTGTCCAGGTTTACTGTTGTTTATGTCTGTGTCACACGTTGGTGGAGAGGTTGTGGGAGGTGCTGGGTGAGGGTGATGGAGGGGGTCTGGAGGTGCTGGGTGATGGTGATGGAGGGGGTCGGGAGGTGCTGGGTGATGGTGATGGAGGGGGTCGGGAGGTGCTGGGTGATGGTGATGGTCGGGAGGTGCTGGGTGATGGTGATGGAGGGGGTCGGGAGGTGCTGGGTGATGGTGATGGAGGGGGTCGGGAGGTGCTGGGTGATGGTGATGGAGGGGGTCGGGAGGTGCTGGGTGAGGGTGATGGAGGGGGTCGGGAGGTGCAGGGTGATGGTGATGGAGGTGGTCGGGAGGTGCTGGGTGAGGGTGATGGAGGGGGTCGGGAGGTGCTGGGTGAGGGTGATGGAGGGGGTCGGGAGGTCTGGGTGATGGTGATGGAGGGGGTCGGGAGGTGCTGGGTGAGGGTGATGGAGGGGGTCGGGAGGTGCTGGGTGAGGGTGATGGAGGGGGTCGGGAGGTGCTGGGTGATGGTGATGGAGGTGGTCGGGAGGTGCTGGGTGAGGGTGATGGAGGGGGTCGGGAGGTGCAGGGTGATGGTGATGGAGGTGGTCGGGAGGTGCTGGGTGAGGGTGATGGAGGGGGTCGGGAGGTGCTGGGTGAGGGTGATGGAGGGGGTCGGGAGGTCTGGGTGATGGTGATGGAGGGGGTCGGGAGGTGCTGGGTGAGGGTGATGGAGGGGGTCGGGAGGTGCTGGGTGAGGGTGATGGAGGTGGTCGGGAGGTGCTGGGTGAGGGTGATGGAGGTGGTCGGGAGGTGCTGGGTGATGGTGATGGAGGGGGTCGGGAGGTGCTGGGTGAGGGTGATGGAGGTGGTCGGGAGGTGCTGGGTGAGGGTGATGGAGGGGGTCGGGAGGTGCAGGGTGATGGTGATGGAGGTGGTCGGGAGGTGCTGGGTGAGGGTGATGGAGGTGGTCGGGAGGTGCTGGGTGAGGGTGATGGAGGGGGTCGGGAGGTGCTGGGTGAGGGTGATGGAGGTGGTCGGGAGGTGCTGGGTGAGGGTGATGGAGGGGGTCGGGAGGTGCAAGGCGAGGGTGATGGAGGGGGTCGGGAGGTGCTGGGTGTGGGTGATGGAGGGGGTCGGGAGGTGCTGGGTGAGGGTGATGGAGGGGGTCGGGAGGTGCTGGGTGAGGGTGATGGAGGTGGTCGGGAGGTGCAGGGCGAGGGTGATGGAGGAGGTCGGGAGGTCTGGGTGCAACAAGAAGCAACAAATGAGGTTACGTGTCCCAATATGATCTCTGGCTCACAACTTGTGCCGGAGACGTGAACTTATTTCCCAGCAGTGGAGGCCAAGTGGTGAGTTGGTCACAGCGTCGGCCACACAGCCGCTGTGCCCTCGACACAGGACATCACATTAAACAA